CATTCATCTTCCTTTTGAATAAGTAAAATTACAGAAAGGAGGAAGAGGGGGAGGGAAGGCAAAAGACAGGGAGCCCACAGAACCCTGAGCTTGGAAATGGATGGGAAGATAACAGTGAATGAGAAAAGAAAAGAAGGAAAGAAAGGAGGGGAGAAGACAGGGGAGAGGGAGAAGAACAAGGGAAGACGAGGGAAAAAATGGAAAGGATGTTGGGTTCAATATCATCCAATGACCACATCCGAAAATGTCCTGCACACATGGCTTGCAGTTAGCAGGTAGGCCCTGAGGAAACAAGCCCTATGCTCAGGCAACTTACCTCTGCTTAAGAACAGGCCAACTGGAAGTTGCCAAGAGCTAACCTAAGGTGTGGGATGAATGGGCAGAGAGCTTATTGCCACCTATAGAGTACTTACTTCCCCATCAGCTCTTTAGAGCCAAGTGTCCTTGCAGGGACAGATATGTGCCCTGGACAGGCCTATTTTCAAGTGTCCACATGAACCTTTCCAGACTCACATAGAAAGGACACAAAGACAAGTTATGGGTTTTCCACAAGTAAATTACATTCTGCCTAATAAGCTACCTTTTGTTATGGTCACGGGTCCTTCGTATGTATGTATGTATGCATGCATGCATTCATGCATGCATAGATAGATATTTGAGGCAAGGTCTTCCATTGTACTGACTGGTTGAAATCTTGATTCTCTAGCCAAAGTCTTGGCTTACAGGCATGTGACATCTTTCTTTCCTGACCATTTAAGAATTTTTTTTTGCCTGTCCTCAGGTTGAAGTCAGAGCCTGGTACTGTCTCTGACCTTTTATACTCAAGGCTAGTGTTCTACCACCTGAGTCACAGTTCACTGGCAGTTTTTTGTGGCTAGTTGGAGATAAGAGTCTCACAGATATTCCTGCTTAGGCTGGCTTTGAACTGTGATTCTCAGATCTCAGCTACTGAATAGCTAGGATTACAGGCATGAGTCACTGGCACCCACCTTTCTTGACTTTCTGATCATAAAAAAATGCATTCTCTTTTTAATAAAATAATGATTAAAGACAGTATATTTTTAGTTTTTTTCAAAAGTATTTCTACTTGGCAAGTTAATAGAACAACTGCATTTTTGCCTCCTTCCTTCTTTCCTTCCTTTCTTTCCTTTCTTTGTTGCCTCCTTCCTTCTTTCCTTCCTTCCTTCCCTCCCTTCCTCCCTCCCCTCTCTTCTTCCCTCCCCTTTCTTCTTTCCTTCCTTCCTTCCTTCCTTCTTTCCTTCCTTATTTCCTTCCTTTTTCTTTCTCTCTTTCTTTCTTCCAGTCCTGGAGCTTGAAATCAAGGCCTGGGCACTGTCCTTGAGCTTCTTTTGCTCAGGACTATCACTCTACCACTTGAGTCACAGCACCACTTCCAGCTTTTTCTGTTTATGTGGTACTGAGGAATTGAACCCAGGGCTTCATGCATGCTAGACAAGTACTCTACCACTAAGCCACGTTCCTAGCCCACCACATTTCTTTTTGTTGATCTTATCTATCTCAGAGTCTGAGAACAACTGGGCGCCCTGATAGCTAGGTGCCATGCAACGCTCAGAGAGGCAGTTGGGCATTCAGTGAGGAATGACCTTTGTCCTCCTCTCTGCTCAGGTGTCTAGCAGCTCCTTCTCCCAGGCTCCCTAGCCTAGTTGGTCTTGGTCCCTTTCTGTGTTGTGCGTGGAGTTACTTTCTTCTTCTAGTCTCTCCTTAAAGGGAATGTGATAAACTGACTCATGCTAACGCAGTCCCTAGAGAGGCAAGATCCATGCAGTCTCCTCAAGGGGTGCCTTTGGATTTTAGCAGAGTATAAAAACTTAATTCATACCAATGAATCGCAGTGATGGGATTTCAGGACTTTCAATGGGAAATAGATATTTATTTTTTACATAAAGGGTCTTCTGAAAACAAACTACTACACCCTTTGAATAATCTTCTAGGCAGGAGGCTGTGGTAAGAATGAACACTATCCTCTAGACCAAAAATGTCACACCCCCCTGTGAAAGCAAGCCTTGATGCCTCTGTCCCTCTTGGTGTTGGATTCACCCCCACCTCCAGCTGCACTGGCAGAGAAAGAAGCATCCCAAACTGCACTGCGGTGTTTTCTTTCTGCATGCCTGTTGCTCCTGGCAGACATGGATAGTCCTGCCAACCTCTGGGTCCCCTGCCCACTTCAGGCATGTGGCTGAAAATACAAGCAAGCAGTTGGACATAGAGTTCCCAGGTAAATACACCCCAAGCCCTCTGACTCGTGATATACCCCCAAGTTCCCATTAAGGCAAGCTACGAGAACCATTCTGTTCCCTGGAGTTAGAGTGTGACTGGACCAAGAAAGAAGAAAGTCTGCACAAAGGCCCAGGAAAACAGGGAGAATCCCAGAGAATCTTTTATGCTTACTAAAGCCCCCTCCTCTTGAAACAGCCAACAATTTTCCTTGTACATGCATCAAAACTATAATCTGAACAGGTATGGTAGTTCAGTCCTATAATCCCAGCACTTGGGAGCTGAAGTAGGAGGATTATGAGTGTGAGGCCAATCTGGGCCACATACATAGATAGCAAGACCCTGTCAAAAAGAAAGAAAGAACAAAAGAATGAAAGAACAAAAGGAAGCAAGCAAGCAAGCAAGCAAGCAAGCAAGCAAGCAAGCAAGCAAGCAAGCAAGCAAGCAAGCAAGCAAGCAGGCTGGGAATGTGGCTTAGTGGTACAGTGCTTACCTAGCATCCTTGGAGCCCTGGGTTCGAGTCCTCAGTACCACATAAACAGAAAAAGTCAGAAGTGGCACTGTGGCTCAAGTGGCAGAGTGCTAAGGAGCAAAAGAAGCTCAGGGACAATGCCCAGTCCTTGAGGTCAAGCCCCAGGACTGGCAAAAAAGATAAAATAAAATAAAAATAAAAGGAAAAAGGAAAGGATTTCAGAAGAAGGTAGGGGGCAAGCAGAGCCTGTATTTGGCCTGATGGAAAAAATACAGGCAGGAACTGGGACAAAGCCACCCCATCTTTTGTTCCCCTGCACACCCAATAGAATAAATCGTTTTCTGCATCCAACAGGAGAATTTTAAGTGCTTTGTTTTTGTAGAACTGGGACAGGAACAGTGGCAACATTTCTCATACCCCCTCGCATGCATGCCTCAGTGTGGTGGCAGCTGGCTCATAGCGAGCAGGGCCAATGGGTCTGAAAGCAGGGCCTCTGGTCCAGGTCAGTGCTACCTGAGAGCCTGTGAGGACCCAGTCCGTGGAACAGAAACTCCAGGACTTGCTCCACCGCTGCTCTAGCAGTCCCTCCAGAGGCTTCCCACCAAGTTGCTTGAGAACCTTGGGAGTCTGTGCCTGCCGGGGCAGGGGCCTTGCCCAGGGCCGTGGCTCTTGGGTGACCTAAAAAAGAGTTAGGGATGACTCAGCTTCCAGCTGACAGCCCCAGGAGGGCCGGGCCTGCGCCCAGGGCAGGTGCAGGCCCAGGCCCAAGGGGGCGGGGCTGACCAACCCAGGACCCACCAGGCCTCCACCTAGCTTCTCCCTAGGCCTGTTGCGACTTGACCCGCAGCAAAGGCACCTCTCCACGGGGTGGGGAAAGGGCTGTGTCCTCTCAGACTTCCAATCTATTATTAGTTCCAATCCGCACAAATCCACCAGTGCCAAGGGGAAAGCTGCGGAACTTTCGGAGGTGGGTTAACTGTTTCAGAGCAACAGCCCTTGGGCCCCAGAGCAGAGCCGCAAGACGCAGCCAAGCGCTACCTGGAGCTCCAGGGCGCAGAGCGAGCTGGTGGCCTTGCCGTCCCATGGTCCCCAGAACCCAGATGGGCCACCAGCCAGTGCCAACCCACGTTCCCCGGGCCGGGGAGGATGTGTCCTGATTTCTTCAGCTGTTGGCGCACTTCAAGGGCCTCGCCCCTCTTTCTTTTGGGGCTGGAGCAGGGTGGGACTGGCCTAATTAATTCGTTTTTCTTTCCACTCCAAAGTGGAAGCCGGAGCCCAGGGATGCAAATCAAATACAAACCCGCGCTGGGCGCCAATACTCAGGGCAATTAAAACAAAGAGTGCGGCGACGGCGGTGATGGCACCGCACAAAAGCCCTCCGGAAACCTCCGGAGCCGCGCGTGGCCAGCCCGCCGGCTGGGTGGGGCTGAGACACCGCGGGCGGCCGCGCGGCCCCAGCCCTGCAGGTGGACAGGTGGAGGGAGGCCGGGGTCAAAATCCATCCCTCAGGACTGTGTGTGTGTGTGTGTGTGTGACGCGTGGCACAACTCCAGGGGGCACACTCGCCCTGTGGGAATGGCGCCCCAGCCCAAACCGACCAAACAAAACCCTTTGCACCGGCGGGAACTGGGTCGCGCGGCGGGCAAGGGAGGATGGGGGTTGGGGGGGGAGATCGGGGTGTGGGAAGAGCAAGAGGGGGAGGGGAGTTGGGGAGAAAGTGGGGGAGGGCGGGGAAAGGGGGGGTCAGGACTGGCCAGAAGAGAGAGGGAGAGCGCGGGA